GTTTACGACTTTTCAGTCTTGTGATCCAATACCAACGCTCGCTCCTCTCCATAAACAGCAATGAACAACTGACGTGAGCTCATTTCCTAGAAGCGGCCAGTGTTCAATGAAGCATTAGCCCTGGAGAGCTATGCACGCCAGATGTTCTCGCATTTTCAATTGGCCGAGTCTAAAAATCACGGGCTAATGCTTGTACATTTTGAATGAAGCTGGAATAGCTGGTTTCATGAATTATTGCATGTCGCTTGGCTTCTTTTTCCGGAACAAAAGACTTCCTCATAGCCACCAACTCCTCATGTAGTTCTAATTATCTGGGGCATTTAGTGCATTGCTGGCCAGTGCATGTCCTTATGTGTGCAGTCTCATCTGGTATCTAGAAGTAACCAGTTTCTAAAAGTTTCAGTTGGCAGGCTGCAATATTTCCTTCCTTTTAGACATCATCGGTAATTTTTCTTGTTTCACTCCATAAAGTGCTTTTTTAATGGCGAACCATCCCATAATGCGTATTGTGCAATGGAACAGCGGTTGGTTTCTGCACGTTATTCTATTTTTTTTTCACCGTTTATGGTTTGGGTGCAACATACATTCTGCATGGTATGGCTTGTACTAAAAGCTGTACGTGCGCTTGTTTGCAGCAGATGAATCTACCTTCGACATCAATGTCTAAACTTTTACAAAAATAGGAGTGATCTACCCCTAAATGTTGGGAAGGAAGTAATTTGATTAACAAGTACCTTGAAATAGACAAATTTTAGCATGACTATTTACACAACCAAGCAGTTGAATTGGAGGTTCAATGTGCACGGAAACGGGTATGTGATTTCACTGTATAAATTGTACTGTTAGACTTTTGTTACTCTATTTTACTTCACTTCACTGTTGTCGCTTCGATCTAATTGTTCAGTTTATACAATAGTCTAGAATTTCTATAAATCGATCCATTCTGACTCATGTCATCGTCATAGATCGTAAAGCCAGCTTTCTCTAACACTATCTGCTCGCATTATATAACTGCCAGACGCTATATACATGGTTTGGCAGAAACTCTCCTCGATGAACGTTCACAAAACGGCAAATGATTGCGATAGAGTTGAGTAGGATTAAAAAACTATCACGTGTTTTGACCAAGTTTGCAGAGTTGATCTCTTTTTGTTTGTTTTTATTTTAATGCAACGCGATAAGGATCTTATCACCAGACGCGTGATTATTGGCCTACTTGCCATGTTTTTTCGAAAAGTGCAGTAGCCGCTATGATTGCTCGGTTTACTCTTTGGTCTTTACTGATTGCGAGTAGTCTGTGAATTCATGGTCCCTTAAAATAGTACCATACGTTCTCATTCCGAGTGGAATATGTTGCGTTGTTGTAGTAAAAGGAACTAGCGGCTATGTTAAAAATTGAATTCGATAAAATCCCGTACGCTCACCATCGCCAGTCGCTGCGATCACTGTTGGCGACGCGGGCGATGACTCAGCGATTCTCCGGCGAAGCATCTGTACGCTGCTTTGACCTTGTCTGACCACATCCATCCTGAGTCATCGAGTATATTACACCCACTCCTCTTTCAAACTTCATTTCCACTCTCTTAAAAACTATGCAGAACCCAGCACAGCGTCCAAAATAGCAACATGCATCACACGATCATTCACAGTTTTTCTGTGTTTGACTCATAATCTCCTTTGAAGCGTAACACCTCTGAGAGTTGATAAGTGTCCCTACTGACATTTTTACAACATTTATGTAATCGTGTCAAATAGTGGCCCATCACCCTATTGTGCGGTCTAGATTCGCATCCTCGTCAAAACTCCTGAATCATCAGCTGATGTTTTGCTAAAGCCAGCTAGTTGCTGTACTCGATTCAGCCGTATCTAGTTCGCAAAACTGGAAGTGTAGTTAATTTGCACATTTGTGTTTCGTTAATCTCCCGTAAAATTGAAAATTACCCTTGAACAGCGGCTTTTTGCTCAACTTCGATGTGCTAAGCGCAGACGCCTCGTTTTGCAAAACTACGCTCTTTAGTGAAACTTCTGCTTCTGCATGCAGCGTGTTTTTCGTCCTTTTAATAGCAGAAAAGTTTGGGGCGGCTGGAAAGCTTATGCGAGGTTTTTTTTTCGTTCAAACTGCACCTCGCTAGAAAGACGAGAAGACGGGCTGTTGTCAATCATACTAGCGGAACTCAAGCAGCACTAAGTTTTAATGTTCTGTTTATAATCTAAGTGTTTGGGTTTTCGATTTCTCATCTAAAGGATAGCATAGATATATGCGCTGGATTGTTTTGTCCCTTTACATGAAATCTATTTTCGGAAACTTCGTAACAGAGATGTTGCGCTGTAGGGGTCTCCCCGCCAAGCTTTCACAATGGCGCCGAAAGTAGCACTTCGGTATGACGCAAATGAGTCACGCTATTTACTCAGTTCTTCGATATAAGTGGCCTGCGTAATGAAGTTCGTCCTGGAGTTAACTTATTGAAATCATTGGCAAATCCCTTCTTCGGTTTTTTTGTCTTAGTCATTGATTTGCAAAGCTCCCTTTGTATTCTACGACTTTTGACAGAATTTGTTTACACACGGATAGTACAGAATTTGGAATGTTTGCATTTCATATGTCCGCACAATGCTAAGTGCTTTGCCGAACCTACTATGGCTCATTCTACGGGAAGCAATCGATTGCAAGTTGCTTTTTCGGCGGCTTCGTCTACTTTAGTGTCATTTTTGAGTGTGGTTCAGTTTTTTCCTCACTGCTGGTTGTGTAGTGCAAACGCGTTTGTCCGTGATGCGCATCACCTCTATAGGAAGCGATTTTTCTCGCGCATCAACGGAGGTGGTGCCGGGTCTTCCGTATTTGCTCGTTGGCTGAGCGGAGATATTTATCGCCCGTATTATCTTGGTATTTTGCATAGAGATCTTTTTCACTTTATGGGCTCTTTTACGACGGGAATTTTTTTTATAGAACTAGGAGCTTATTGCCTGTCATCCTACGCCAATATTTCCTAGAACGCTTTGCTCACGCTGACTAGCAAGTCAATACTATGTCCAGCTTCATTCTATATGTTTCTCTTTTTAAATTTGAGGATGAACTTGTGGATTACCTATGCAAGGTTCGCGACCTTTTTTACAAAAGCAATGGCATTTTCTGATTCTGCAAGCGACCACTTCCGCTTTACACCCCGACTTTATCACTACACTTTTCACTATGCGAAATGTGTATATGTGCACTCAAAGCCACGCACGTCGAATTCAATTATCTTCTACACATTCTGAAAGTCGCCGACGCGTCGTCGCTGCGTCGAATCGATCCACGCAAGCCGCAGCCATGGTCTGGTTTGATTCGCGTGCCGCTGGCGGCTGATGTGTTCGTCGCGCTCACGGATAAACATCTGCGACGATCGTCCTCATTTCAGACTCGACTACTCACTCATCCCCGGCTAGTTGTCACTAAGTATTTTGCACTTTTGCGTCGTACTTCTATAAAGCTCTTCGATAGCTCCTTTTCTCAAGCATGTCCATCATTTTTTTCAAGAGCAAAACAGCGCTTCGATTGTGCACTAGTGTTTGCAGCAGATGAGCTGTTGTAACAGAACCTTATTTTAGTTTCCCATCGCGTGATTCCTATGAAATCTTTCTCTACAAGCAGTAATTATAAATTCCTCTTATCAGGGGTTTGCCCCAGTAATTTCACTTTCTGTCAACACCTCGCGTCAAATTAATAACTTCACCCGTTCACAGTTTTTGTTGTGGCTATAAGTGTGAAATGAAATTTTTGTCGCATGCACGTTTTTTTTTCGAACTTTTCCACACAGTTCTGTAGTCGACAAGGTGTTTGATCGGTTAGTTCGCATATGTGTTCTCAACTTTTCAGATTCTGAAGAAGGCGAGTTCGCCGAAACGTCAGTCTGTATATTGTGTAATAAATATGTGTACCAATCTTGAACATTGCTAAAGGAATCAACCAGAAGATTCAAACCTTTGCGCATACATTTTCTACTTGATATATAGGCTCCCCTTGGCTTTCCTGCGCGTACTTCCTTTATTTCAGTTACTCTTTTTTTCTCTTATTTCGGAATTTTGAGATTATTTTCGTAATCATCTTCATCCACTGCATTTTCACAATCTCTCATTTTCTATCGATCACACTGTAAAACCGACAATTCGCAAAGTCGACCTCATCGACATGGCAAATAGAAAGCTAACTTAGAGCTCGGAAAGCCTGCTGTATGTATCGGACAAGTACCTCAGCGCACATGTTCAAAGTAAAGCGCTTGTTTTCACTATGTGTCAGTGTATCTAGAGTGTTTTTGCACTAGCATCAGACATATTTGCGAACGATCTTTTGTTGAGATTACGATTTGCGGCTGTCGCTGTCTAGTCTCAGTCTTTGTATTTTTCTCGGTGTTCTTGTTTTATGGCGCAAAAAAAGAAAAAAAAAGAGAAAAAGCGTGTGATCAGCATTGTTCTCTTGCTTGCAAGCTTTTTTTGTATCTGAGTCACGGAGGTGGAATCACTTTTCCTTTTTGGTACGGAGCTATTTCAATTTTGGCATCCATTGTAAAAATGCCACTTCTCATCCACACTCCCCGAGTTACATGCCTTTTTATTGAACTTTCTTTGAGTGATCTATTTTTCCCTTCCGCAGTAGTTGTCACTTATGGTTTCCATGATGGATGGACCATGTTCTTCCTTAATGATTCATATGCCTTTTTCGGGCCTTCTTGTTATGTTAATGGTTTTTATTGATTCTACCAACATCTATATATGTTCTCGCTATTGAAAATGTCTGAAGTGTCTGAAAATGTCTATCACGTCTCACTCTTTTCTTTTCCCCTTCGCATACATGAGAAGTCATTCACTCTGATGTGATTTGTTTGATGCCTCACGTGAATCTGCAAAAATTCTCAACGATTATCGGGGATCTTGTCCCTGCCGGGTTCAACTCGATAACACGTGCTCGAAAATGTCTTTTCTCCTTACACGTGTTCTGAAAGAATAACTCGATTCTAATCTATTCAGACATATCTTTCAGAGTAACCGGGAAAAGGTCGTGGGCGTCGCGTAGTGTGGTATATTTCGAGAAACAGTACGCGAAAAGTGTGAAGAACACCTAAACGCCGTCGCTGTTCTCGAAAACGCCATAATGTTGACGCTACTGGAGCCACCCGGTGCGAAGCGCGTACAAGCGCTCGCAAATCGTTCCGCGCAGCATCTTCTCAGGCTCAGTAAGTTTTCTTCCATAGAGGTATTCAATAATTAGTGAATTTTTTCTTGCTCATGGAAGTCATGTTGTTACTCTTGCAGATCCAGAAGATGAAGAATACTTCGATGCGGCCGACTACGACACTTCCAATGAAGTTATCACTAGCGACCACACCATCACTCGCGTTAGTTTTCATTCCTAATTCCTCTAAGGGCCGCATGCACTAACATTTCTGCTGGGGAGGGGATCGCAGCTTCAGAAGAAAGCTTCATATCCTGAAGCTCCGGATATCTGGATTTCACGCTGTCTACCTGTCCGTAAGTACTCCCACCATCCTTCACTATGAACATACTGAGCAGAAGCGAGAAGCTGTACAAGCCGCATTTCCCAGCTTTTTGTAGGATCCCCTGATGATCCCTGGGGGACGAACATCTATTCTTCAAAGTCATTTTTCTTTCTCCGAAGTTAACGAAAACCTTCCAAAGTTATACTGAACATCTAACACAACAGTGCTAAGCATGTTGCTGATGAGAACAAATGAATTTTTGAAACATCGAATTTTTCGGTATACCCCAAATTTCGACCTGTGGATCATCGAAAATTTCATGACTTCAAAACATCATTTGTTCATATCAGCAACATGCTTAGCACTGTTGGGTTAGATAATCTGCACAACTTTGGGAGTTTTTCCTTAACTTCAGAGAAAGAAAAATGACTTTAGAGAAAAGCGCCGGGGATCATCAGGGATCATACAAAAGCTGGAAAATGCGGTTTGTACAGCTTCTCGCTCCTGTTCAACATGTTCATAGTGAAGGATAGTAAGAATACTTTCGGATAGGTACAGAACGTGAAATCCAAGTATCTGGAGTTTCGAAATATGAAGCTTTCTTTTAAGCTGCGATCCCCTCCCCGCGGCCATGTTAGTGCATGCGGCCCTAAGAACAAACCTCACATACATAAATCAGTATTTAGTTTTTACTCTTTGGTTTTGCAATCTTGCCTTTGCACCTTATTATTGGCTGTTCTTTTTTTCATTGATATTCTTTATTGTTGTTTGCTCCGAGTGCGGCATAAATCCAGCTAGAATGATGCCTCCATTATTGTTTTGACTGTCACATGCTCATTATCTGCGATAATCTTCCAAGCGCAATGGTTTGCTTGATAAAATAGTTGCCAGCTGGCAACCGGAATGTAAACATCAAGTTGACATGATAACCCTACGTGCGCCTTGAGCAAACGAAGTTCTGGCGGGGCATATAGAAAGTTTGATCGTCATTTATCTTTCATCTGCAGTGGAAATACTGAAAATGTCATTAATCTGTCAGTCTCGGAAACATCAGTCATAATGCATAATCTCTTGTAAATGGATCTGTCACAGATGAGCGTGGCGATCTGTGTTTTTTTCCACAAAATTTTCCCTATGACTGATAACAGAACAGCTGATTGTGCATCATCTGCGGTCGCGTGAGCGGCAACGATTTGAGCTCTTGACTTTGCATAATGCGACGCAGAAAATGATGAATTAGCTCCACTTTAGCAATGGCGCCATAGAACGTTATCATAAGCACTGAGATTCAATTGAGAAAATCCACTTTAGTTCTTGGACAAGCATCTGGTGTGGAAATCTAGCTCGGATGACTACAATGATCGCTGGAAGCGCGAATTTCTTAAGCGACCATCGTGGTGTGACGCAGATCTTTGCTTGCAGCAAATAAAAAGGGTGAGTTTCAATATCTTTGTTTATGTCTTTTTTCCTATTTTTTTCATGATAATTATCTTGACAAATTCGTTGCGGAGTTAGCGTGTCTCAATCGGAATTTTTTATGAGTTTTGTTCTTCTTACATCCCTACACAGCATCATGTCAATTCTACCTCTAATTGAAAATTTTCTTTGCCAATTTTTGGACATCGGCCTATCATCTGTTACATTATTACCTGCCGATAGCGAGGAGGGAGTGAGTAGTTGATGCAATTGCTAATGAATGCCGCAGAATACTAAACCTGACTGGCAGGTGGCTGGAGCGAATTTGAATATATGCAACGGCAACGTGTCGGTTATGGTAATATGATGCGATAGCTATGATGATAGTGTGCAAGGGTACGAATGTCTGCCTATTGGGAAAATCGAGGGTTGATGTGGCAGTTTAGCTGTTTGCTTTCAGTCTATTCTGAACATCACATAGACAGAAATCTATTTTTGCGGTAGTATTGTTCCTGCCAGTATCCGTTAATTAGCAGGAATGAGTACAGCATACGCATAAAGTTGCACAGTCTATCAAAAGTGGTCATATCGTCGCTAGTATGTTGATGGTTACTATAACTTGCACTCTGTTCTATGTTTTTGTTTAGCTCGTCACGTTGTTTCATTGTTTTGACTTTCTCCAGACGGCTTTGAGTGCTATAGTAGATGTTGCCTTGAGTTTCCGTTCGTAGCTTGAAATACGAGACGAGTCGTATAGTTCTGTGGGAGAATAGAAGGAGTTTGCCTTAGTTATTCCTCGTAATTACATGGTGATATATCTTTTAGAAAGCCATAGTTGATTTTTACATGTTGAGAAAAGTCGCAAACCTTTCCAAAGTGTTGCTTGGTGAGTGGCATGTTGAGGGTTGCGACGGAACATCTGCACGTAAGTGTCGGCTTAGCTCTATTTTGCTCAAATATCCAAAGCTTTATTCGCTCTTCACCATTTTACGATTTCGCTGGATGTGTTCGCGAAGTATGAGTGGGTAGTTTTGGGAAAACAGCAATAACAACTGTCTCCTATCTACACGTGACGGGCAGCTCCGCTGTAGGAGGGCTTGGAAGCATCATGGTAGCGACTACCTGTCTTACAAATAGATGTTAGAAAGGCATTAAGAGATTTGATTTGAATGGAATCTTGACTGTTGGTAAGGAAAAAACTCCGGATTTTGGCATGAATTTTTAAACTTTTTATCAACTGTGCCCTCCAGCATTTGAGATATTCGCACTGGGTAATTTCGCGCCGTTTTGCTGACACTACTCCTCCCCCCTTTCCTCATCGCAGCGTAAAGTGCATTCTCTTTGCACTCAGCCGCATTGCAACATGATGTTCTGTTTGATGCGAAAAGAGAAGTGTGCATCCACGTATTCTCGAGAGAAATGTCGCATTTCTCGCACTTCAACGAGCGCACATAAGCGGACATAACAGATGAATGCGAGGAATCCGGCATTTTTATGTTGAACAATTAAAGTGAAAGCCGTCTGATTGTTTCCAGTGGGTTAAGAATGGATCGGAGAGGCAATAGCGCCGCTAACTATCTGGATAAGGGTAGCAGTATCGCTTCTCGGACTTCTGATTGAGAACAAAGTTTATTAAGTTCAATTTCGAGCGCTCGTTTGCAATTCAAAGTCTAAAGACGATGCGGATAGCTAAATGTGCGCTAGGGAGATTTCTTGCAAATCTCAGATTTTGCGAAGCTTGTATTGCTTTCGATTCGTAATCAGCTCATGATATACTATCGGAAAAGGAAAAAGGAGAAAGTGATATTAGGAGTGAAGTGGCCAGAACACATGTTCGCATCGGTTCTGTACGCTTTTGACGGGCATTCTGTGTCCTTTTTTTTGGCGTGAGAGATATCTTTTCTGTCAGTGTATCTTTTTTACCTTCCGCGCATGTTCGTCCATGCTCATCAAATCAGAGCTTTCCTTTCCTCGTCCCTGTCTTTTTGAGACTGCAGCTTGTTGCGGGGGATTTACATAGAGTGAATGTTGGCAAGTCACTCGAAATGCAAATCTAATTGCATCGCATGACTTTCTACTGGCGAAGTCATGCGATGCAGTTATCATCACCCCGCAATTACTTCGAAATCTAGCTGCACCCTACATTTGGTTTGATTAGTGTGGCCTGCTAAGGATATTAGTGAGGAAGTTGTCATAGCGACTTGCGAGATGACGTACCAAATGCTCTTGAAATTCATCTCAGCTAATTGAAGTCGCTTGATGTGCAAAGGACATATGAGTTTATGCTTTAACAAAGATATACTGTTCTCACAATCTAAAATAGGTATTTCATGAGATTCATTCATTGCGGCCCATCGAACTAGGTAAAACGACACATCTGCCTGTAATTGCCGCAGCGAATGTGTTTTATGTGTTTCGCCGGTTCAGGTTTAACGACGGTAGCTAGAAGTTGAGACAAAAACCATGAAGTGCAGCAGATGACTCACCTTCCATAAGGAAGAAGGAAAGGGGACAGTTAACTCGGTTTCTAACTCCATTTTGATTGCTGTCGGGTTGCCTAGATATCTCACCGTAACTGAGGGAGATATGAAACTACCGTTTAGTGAAATAGATAAGGAGAAAATTGCAGGTGTGAAGGGCTGTGATTGCATACATGTGTCTTTATGACAGAGTTGTGTGTCTCCAGAGTCGCTATCAATTTTATATCTGCTGTCAGCAGAGCTAGCCCCCCACACCGCAAGCCGACTGCAAAATGAAAAATGTCCAGTCGCTGCATTCGGTTGGCTTTTGATGAATGAATCAGGAAAAAGCGAGAAGACCCATCACTTATAGGATCGTGGCGTTTTATTGAGATTAAAGACTACGTTCGCATATAACACCTTGCGTAGAAAACACCTGACGCTTGTGGGGTGTCGTTTAACGTATGTAGATATTCGCGATATCTTAGTGCTAGCGAAATAAAGGGAAAGGAATAAGCGAGGGACAGTTTTTGAGGCTCAATTTTTATTATGAGTTGTTCGAAGATTTTGCTATCATCTTTTTTAGGGAAAGGCGAATGGCAACAAAAGAGCTTTGTATATGCGAAGTTTCATCCAGAAATCTTTGTTCTCACTGGGAAATTTCGTACATGACAATGCAGCTTCGGTTATCATCACCGTACTGGTCCTCTATTCCATATGTTGCTACGGACTACAGTTTGTTCGTATTGAAACAGACATAGTGAAGCTGTGGGTAGCAAGTAAGTTTTAATTAAACAAGTTCACTTCTTATAATGTGCCATTGAAAATTATAGAAGGAGGACGACTGGATGAAGAGCTCAACTTTCTGTCGAGCATACAAGCTACTATGAATAACAACGATTCGAGAGGGGGAAGCGAGATTGTTCGAGAAAATGGACTTGGTGGAGGTTATCAAGTGGTGATTCAAACTCCAGAATATCCTGGTCAGAATATCTTGGACCGGGATCCGCTGCTGAAGCATGTGGACACTATGACGGAGATCGCTAACTTCAGCATTGAATTGCACAACGTGTGAGTACAAATCTCGCTTTTTTTATTCACATCTGAACTTTGTCGCTTGGGTTCACCTCAATTATTTTCACGAAAAATGAGATCTTTTTCTTGTGAATGATTCTAGCCGCATCCAAATGGCCTTAGTGCATCAATAACTAGCATTTTTTTGCGACACAATTCGAAGCAGTGAAACGTGACAGTTTTTAACCCTTGTTTAAATTCCTCCATATGTGGATGGCTCCAAGGTTACAGAAAACTGGCTCTCTGTTGTGTACGCAAAAAATGTCATCGACACTTGACATTTTGAGAAGTAATAGCATCGCCGGTTGAATCCTGCATAGCGTATGAGGGGTATACATCTTAGCAGGGGTTTGCTTGACTGTCAAGCTTTCTAGTGGAGTAAAAACTCAGACTTCACAAGTGTTTTTTGGGAAATTATGTTTGGTGTTTTTTCTTGTATCAGAAAATGTTTTTTCAAGGCGCTTAAAGCGCTTTATGAAGTAACAGTCTATTCAGTTGTCACTGTTGTCTTGGAAAACTCGACATCTTGCATATGAATCACCTGACCGAAACATTGACATTTAGTTGGAAGTTTACATTTGCGCGTGATTGTTTCTGCATTGGGGGTGACAAGCCCGATGAGGCATATAATAGGAATGTATGCGCATGGTACTTTCAAGGGACTATAGGATGTTTTCGGGGTGATTAGATAAAGTTAAATCGATGGAGGAGGCTTTGAGAATTAATTTTTCAGAACTTGGTCCTTGTCTGACATCTGCTTCAAACCAGCCCCACCTCAGCTGGAGGGTATAGCTGCAGAAATGGCAGATGTGATTGAAAGAATTGTGCCTTGCATTTGGATAACACCAATCGACTGCTTTTGGGAAGGCTCAAAAGCTCTCGGCCCGCATCCACCCATAGAGACGAAGTGAGTTGTCTTATGTATAACCCCATAGAACAGTGAATACATACTGCTTTCCAGAGATCTGTCATTGTTGGCGTGGTTGAAGTCAATTCCAAATAGAAAATACATTCAGTGGAATGATTTTGATCCAATGGATGTCATCAATGAAATCCATCGCATGTTCAACCTAGGATCGCATCACACCTTTTTTGAGAGGGTTTGTCAAACTTCTAATTTCAATGCCAAAAAGCTGCACTATCAGTTTTAGGCTGGTCTTGGGCATGGTTATCTCGATAGACCATGCATGAATCCACTAGATCCAGAATGCCCTAAGCTATCGCCAAATTACTATGATGTTTGTCCGATGCTTGGAAAGTTTCGTGAATATGCTGATAATAACAATATCACCCTAGTACCAGACGATTTTTCAAAGGATGTTTATGAATTTGATTTGTTCTCAATCTTTAGTGAGTTTTGCTGTCTCCTTTTTCAGCTCTCAACTACAACAGAATCAAATAGATTGCTTTAGGTAGGGGAGGAAGCAAACGGAGAAAGAGAGACACAGAAGAGGTTGAGCTTGATCCTGCAACGAATGTTCCGGTGCCTATAAACCCAGAAATACTTGCAGCACAGGACGCTGAACGAAAAGCTGAGGAAGAGAAAGCTGCTGAAGGTAATCCGTTAAATGAGCTCTTTGCTTTCTCATACAAGTCTGTTTTCAGATTGCAAACACTATAGGGGGCCAATGATGCGGTGGATGTTCGCCAATCCAGACAAATGGGCAGAGTTTCTTCACGAGGTATCTTTTGGGATTAACGAGTTCAAATGCCTTTCTTCTTACCCATGTCCCATTTCAGAAGGAGTATCCTCATTTTCCCGATTACGCTCACATCATGTCGGGTGGTTGCCCTGGTTTCGCAGCGGGAGTTCTCCACTGGCCGGAAGATATGATACTCGGAGGGGTTAAGCGTCCTAGCAAAGGGGCTGATATGCAGTCAGCAGACGCGCTACAGAGTGTATTCTTGGTAGCGAGCCCAAACGATGTTTATCTGAGGTTTAAGCAAAAAGTGAGTATCGATAATTTGAGAAGTTTGTGATCCACAACCATTATATGTAGGGTAACCGTCCGTTGGCTAAGCCTGAGTTAGACCAAAGTCAGTGGACTGAGAAATTTGCTGAAGAAGTGATACAGCAGTGGCAACGTAATTTTACACAAATGCTCTACAAGCACAAAGCAAATTTCGACGAGCAGGTTAGTAGCTGTGAATTGCTAGAGTTTCTACGTCGAAAGTTCCATCTGCAGGGTCTTGAACGGCGCACAATTCACCCACTCGCTTCCACATCTATTGCTGATATGTTAGAGGAATTCTGTCAGTTTAATTACAAAATTATCTTTGTTGGATATGGGCTGATGGTGAGGACTATATTAAAAGTGAAGTCGTTCACTAATCTGTGTTTTCAGCTTGTGTATGCAATTTTCACTCAAATGAAAAGAGATGGCTGTCTTCCTTCGTCTCAGTCTTGTATGGGACTTGCATTTGCTGGTGTTATTACTGTAACTTTTGCTTCTATCTCTGGATTAGGCTTAGCGACCTGGTTTGGCATCGAGTTCAATGCAGCAACTACGCAAGTAAGTTTAATCTCGCATTTATCTCGTTCGCTCTTGTTGCTAATATCTGTTCTGTCCTTTCATGGGTATCTTACACTGTATCTTTGCAGATTGTTCCTTTTCTTACACTTGGTATCGGTGTCGATAATATGTTTATGTTACTGCACAATTATCACGGTATCATGTCGTTAACTGATCAACATGAAATTGGCATTCTGATGCGCGAGACTGGAATGTCAATCTTATGCACCTCGACAAATAATATTCTGTCGTTTTTGGCAGGTACTTTAGTTTACCAAACTCACTTTATTAGGATTGGTCGCACTGTCTTTTTTTCGAACAAGTGAGACGTTTCAGGTACAATGTTGCCCATTCCGGCACTGCGTTCATTTTGTGCGCAGAGCACAATTCTACTTACTTTTAACTTCATTGCCATTCTCACTTTATATCCTGTGAGTATTTTCAACTTGCTGTTAAGAAATAAATTGAATCACGCTCATTATAGGCATTGATCTCCATAGATCTCCGACGTCGCAAAGCGGGTATGCGTGACGTATTCTGCTGCCTTCGTGGTGAAGCCAGGCAAGAATCCTATTCCATGATCACGAAACCTCATTACCAGGTAGTTTCATTATTCGTGATAGTTAGAAGTGAAGAGTTGTTTTTTTTTTCAGGAAAAACGTACCATTGGCGATCCTATGCCGCGAATTATGTCATATAAAGAAATGGAGGAAGAACCAGAGCCAGAACCATTTTCACTCCATTATGTATTGCGAAAGTATTACATACCTTTTATCAACAAAAAATGGACCAAGGTAAGATTTTTGGGAGTTCACCATAAAGTGTATATAATGGTAGTTGTTTTAGATTGTTGTCATTAGCGGTTCTATAGTATTGCTCATACTCTCTTTCATTGGAATGCAACGAGGTGCAATAGGACTGGAGCTGAGCGACGTCTTACCGGAACATACCGCACCTGCCAAGTTCCTTCAAGCTCGAGATAAATACTTTAGGTAAGCTTTCCAGGAGCTTTGAAAATTTTTTAACTACTTACAATCACTCTTTTTCTTCAATTATCAGTCAGTTCGTTTCTGTTATCGTGTTGTGTACCGTGCATACACATGCATGTACCGTGTTCATCATTGACATCTTTACCTTCTTCACGTCAAGTAGCGCTCGCTTACTATCTTCATCTTTTCAGTTTCTATCCTATGTTTGCTGTGATCAAAGGCCCCAACATCGACTACGCCCGACAGCAGCATCAGATTGATAACTACAGAAATGCGATAGGTTTGTGCGGCTCCTTTATTTGTCATAGGTTAAAAAATTTTCGCAGTACTAATATGCGTACGTCACTGGATAATTGATTGTTGGATATCTCGAATGTCTTCTGAAATTTTTTTCGATTATTCATACCAAATGTGAATATTTACCGAAAACATCGTTTATAGGTTCTTCCAAGTTTGTAATCAAAAGTAACTCTGGAGAACCATCCGAGAAATATTGGCTGGGAATGATGAGAGATTGGCTAGCCAGTCTTCAAAATGCTTACGATAATGAGATGGCGTTAGGAAAGTGAGTTTTCTTTCTGCTCCTTTAGAAATAAAATATTTTTTATTCACATATAAATGCGCATGATTTTGAGGTTCAACTTGACTGATGGTGAGTTGAAGGGCAATGTCAGCGAAGATGCGTTAATAGCCCATCGTCTGATCTGTAGCGTCGGAAATAAATATCAATGCGAAGGAAGAGTATGTTATGCTTTTCTCAAGTTGTATTGAGTGCTAACAATGAAAACTTTACCTCCGTATTTTTTAGGTTGGTAAAGTGCGATTAGTCGATGGTTTGGGCACAATCAATCCGGATGGTTTCTATAATTATCTGACAGCTTGGTTCAATCAAGATAACATGATGTAAGTCGCACGAGAAAAACTGTTAGCACGTTACGCCAAATTAAGGTTTTGCATTGAATTAAATTCAAGGTACTACGTATCTCAAGCATCGTTCTATCCAACACCCCCAAAATGGTCAATAACTGACAAGAAAGCACCATTACTAGTACCACCTGCCGAACCGTTAGCTTATTCACAGATTCCATTCTATCTTACCGGACTCACGGATACAGCAGTAATTGTAGAGATGATCAAGGTATGTTTGCTTGCGAATTGTTCAACTTTTCGCTTAAACGAAGTTTATATTTTCAGGAAATCCGATCTACTTGCGATTACTTTGTAGATAATGGTTTACCGAATTTCCCTCAAGGTATAGCGTTCACTTTTTGGGAACAGTATCTCCATTTGACCTACAACCTTTTGACGGTAAGTTTTGTGAATGTTCAGGTTTTGTATGTGCTTGAAGTGCATTTTCAGGCAATCGTTCTCATTGCTTGTGCTGTATTCGTGGTCATCTCGATCCTACTGTTCAATCCTTGGGCAGCCTTTAATGTGCTGATGATTCTTATTGGTATGTTTACCCTTTTTGCAAGCGATTCCCTTTTTCAAATGTTAACGTTTAGTGATGACCGTTGAACTTGCCGGATTCATGGGCTGGGCAGCTGTGAAGATGAATCCTGTGTCGGCGGTGACACTGATCACTGCAGTAGGCATTGGCGTCGAATTCACTGCGCACGTCGTGTTAGCTTATCTGACATCTTTGGGCACGAGGTACGTTGAACATGCGCTTTCCCTAGATACTTAAGGAACTGATATTATAGAGCTGAAAGAACTTCTAACGCCATAGATCGGGTATTCGTCCCTGTAATTCACGGAGCACTGTCAACATTATTAGGCATTCTTATGCTTGGATTTTCGGAGTTTGAGTGAGTGTCTAGCCTCGCCTTCTTATGTTTAGAGTTTGTGACAGTATTTTTTTTTGTACTTTACACTCCCTTCATTAGAACTCTTTCTAATGTTCTCTCTTTTTCTTTCCCGTAGTGATATGGGTAAAAGCATTCATTTCAGATTTGTCGTAAAATATTTCTTTGTTGTGATGTCAGCTTTGATCGTGATTGGAGTAATCAATGGCTTGATACTATTGCCAGTTTTGCTGTCACTGATGGGCGCACCCCAAGAGGTGAGTGGCTGTATCCTTTTCCAGTAACTCTTTGCAAAAACATTGATTGTTACCCTTTTATAAGCACCCGTTAACTACCTTCAGGTGGTTTCGGCAGATGGGAAAGCGCGTTTAACATTGCCGCCGCCACTTCGTCGTCGAGAAATTGAAATTGAAGAAGATGACGAAGGTTTGATGATGGGTGCTCGTGGTATGCGCTCATTTCGCAACATAGCGATCTAGCAGCGCATATGGCGCTGGGCCCCATAATTTTCCCTGATGACTCGCTTTATTACGGACTCTATCGCTGGTACAGAAATCTGCCCTGCCAATGTCCTTTCATAGTTAACATTTCCATTTTCATGTTTTTATTGCTTGCTTGTCTGATATTGCCTTCCTTTTTCCGCAAATCTTCTCTCGCTCTTATCATAGTTTCTTTATTCATGCAAAAATCTTCTCTTATTTCAAGCATTCATGTTTCAGGTAACTGTGTATGTGTGTATCTTAACTTCTCTTTTTGCTCAATGAGAACTTGTATAATGTGCTCGCAAGTGCAATGTTGTGTACTGTATCTTCAAACTATTCATATAATCACCATGTGAGGAGCTTTAATCACCCCTTCTTGTTCCAATTTGTAGTTAACCGAAGCGCGGATCCGGTTGCACAACTCGAGTTTCAACGTGAACTCGTTTTAACTCCCCACTTCAGTGCATGCGTCATAATAGAGCTGTAATTAATTTTCACGGGCAGTCATCGATCTCGTTAGGAACGCATAGAAATATTCCATAGTCGTGGTCGATGACCGCTTATTTGATTGTGTTATTGGTTTTATGCTTTTCCATGTAATACGTAACGACGATCTCTTATAGTAGTCACATCCGGTATCACTTATACTAGATAGTGATACTTTATTAGGAACCGTTTGCTCATGCAGTCCTAATAATGCGGACGTTTTCGCTCGTTCCGTAAGCAAGCCATTGAAGTCTTCGATTTATAATTGTTCCGGTGACAGATGTACCAATAGGACTGCTAGAACTGCTGAATTACATGACTCTCACATTTTCCGATGCGTGATCTGTGTTATTGTTTTTCAATTTTTGTTTCCTTCTTTTAGCGATTGTTATCTTAATAAAGATTTTTATTTAGGCTATAAAAGAGGGATTCCAAATTTCAAAGTGCTTATTAGGTTAAACAAATCAATGCGGGATCTGACCTCCCTTGTTAGATCAGTCGCCGTCGTCGTGGCAGTACAGATTGACGTGGAATGAGTGAACATGTAATTATGCGGAAGTTTTCAAGATCCTATCGGCATGCAAAGGTAACTTCATCCAATTCTGCTTAAAGGCATTTCCAGTCAAATCTGGGCGCATGGGTTTTTCATCTGGAAATTGATGAGGGATTCCCACCTAAGACACTGCCCAGGGAGTGTACTTGGGGAAATTCGAAATTTTTTCGAATATTCGGGTATCGAATATAGTCGAAAAATGAAAATTTCGAATATTCGATTGTCGAATATTATTCGAAAATGGAAATTTCGAGTCGAATAATACTCGAATTATCGAAAATCATTCGTTATTCGAATTTCGAATATCATTCGGTTCTCGAATGTTATTCGATTTTCAAATACCATTTTATTTTCGAATACTGATCGAGTTTATGTCATTGAGACTGCCTATGAGAGACAAAACATCTAAGAATAAATTGTTTCATGCAAGTGTCAAGAATAGACAATTTTTTATTGTACAATTTACGAGGAAACAAGGTTTAGTCGCGACGTGAAGAGACTAGGGCACCTAAAAGCTACTGACGGTTGTAAAGAGATTTTTCGTACTTTAAAGAAGATTATATGAGTTGATATACATTGATATACAGGAGTCCCAACAGCATGCAGATCTGTAGGATGACATCAAGTCAGATATGGAGCTGTACAGGGTGTCCCAAAAAAATGTGAACGCTGTTTGATCGTTAACAACTCGGTTGTTTCCACGTCTTTCGCCGAGCTTGAGGCACCGTTCTGTAGAGCGAGGTTCAACTTAGATTTGTAGTATGGAGCGAATCACCGATCGCTATCCGTTACTGTAGGAATACGGTATGAACTTCTAGCATGTGGATCTAATGTGAAATACCATTTGACAAAATTTTATTTAAAAAATCTGAAAAATCGTGTATTAGGATTTTCGCGCGCGCTGATTCCATTATACAACTTTTTACGATGGTTTTCAGCTTTTTTGACGGTGTAATCACATTTCTGACAAATACTGGGAATTCGGTTATTATGGTTTACCTGGGATGACTTTGGAAAGATGCATCACAGTGAAGTGGAAGTTTCATATTCAAAATCAGCGGCTTCCATTACCATAGTATAAGAGGTTTTCGGCTTGTTTGGTTTTGTTGAAGCAGAACATGGGTTCCAATGGCCTCAAATCCTTGTCGAACTTCCTACCGTAACCCTACAGTAACGAAGAACGATTGATGATTCGCTCCATACTACAAATCTAAGTTGAACCTCGGTCTTTAGAACGGTGCCTCAAGCTCGACGAAAGACATGAAAGCAACGAAATTATTAACGATCAAACAGTGTTCACATTTTTTGGGACACCCTGTATATCAATTTATTCAATTGATTTATCGCTTCCTAGAGGCAGTGTCTGCGTCTCTGCCTTGGTGGGGACCGTCGAATTTCAAATTGTGCGGCTTCGGAAAACGTATGTTCTCGCCGTTTTCGCACCTTTAAATGTGGATTTTCGGATTCAGCGTTGCAGATAACCCCGGCAAGTGAATTTTCTGAAATTCGAGTTTTTGCCCGGACAGTGCCTTTAAGATTGAAGAAGGTTCCGAAACATCAAGAGCCATTTCCCCAAGAAATAGAATCAAAAAGGCCGAAAGACATTGCATTAGACTTCTAAAGACACTCACTATATATAGAATTTCCACTCAACCGCAATGCTTTTTCAACTTATGCCAGGTACACCGCAATAAGCGCTTGGCAATGCCTTTCAAAAATGTGATTGCCATTTGAAAAACTCGAAAACTTGTGCATAGTATAATTAGCACACCTAAAAGAACTGCTACACAGATTTTAGATCTTTTTTGGGGATATTCTTTTGGATGTCTTTGCAGTTGGTCTATATGCTGGAAGTTCCTACCTTCATAACACACAATAAGAAAAATATGGTTGATTCGCTTTCTGCTTTATTTGTAAGCTGAAGCCATCCCTACTAGATGTTACCAAAAAATTGGCAAAAGATTTTGTGAGAGGTATTGGCGATCAAACGGTGTGTAAAGGCTACTGCATGACGAAGGCGCAGAAGCGGTATCACTTGAGCGGGCGCGACGCGACGCGTGCGCATCCTCACCATTGCTGATTCCGCGCCTTATGCGCTCTGCGGCTAATGAAGCCGCGTTCGCGCCCGAAGATATTGCGCCTTCGTCATGCAACAGCCTATAGATACTTTTAATGAACCCCGTATACGTATACGCCATGCATATCGAATTTTCGAGTATTCGGTGCTTACCGAATTTTCGAATAGTCAATTCTTATCGAATTTTTCAAATATTCGGTGCTCATCGAATGTGCGAATATTCGATGGACATCAAATGATCGAATTAATGACCATCGAATATTCGACTATCGAATAATATTTGAAAGTGAAGATTTTCGAATATCCGACTACTGAAGATATTCGAATCCTGGAAATTTCGAATATTCGACTTTCGAATTTTATTCGGAATCTCAGATTTTCGAATATTCGACTTTTCGAATCATTCGCATTCGAATGATATATTCGAACGATTGAATAATCATTTGATTCGGTCTCGAGTATAACGGGGGGGGGGCAGCGCAAATTGTTCATTCATGGCTGAGAAATGTCTCCGAAAACCCCGCGCCTGCGCCATGACCTTAACCAAACGACTTCGATCACTTTGAAGGCACCGTCCACCAAAATGGAGTCGATGAGATTTTGATGCGTAACAGTAGTGGGGTCCCAACTGTATACTTACCCAACTCGCGCTGGCAAAAGTTGTTCCGAAGCGAGAAAATTGCTTCGAAAATCGCTCGGATGATAGATTCGCCATGTTGGCACCTCCCCTTTGAATGGGCGTGGCGTTCGTCCCGCCCATCCGTGCACGCCCACCAATCACCGTTCCCAAGAATCGCTCTGCAGGTTCTCAAAATGATGTCTTTCGTGGTTTTCGCGTATTTCCGACTTTATATTCGGAATCAGGGGTATGGGAAGGCCCTCACCGGCGGAAACATGGAGGTCGAAATTTTGGGTGGACGGTACCTTTGACACTACGTTCGCGCTGGGATCCATCTCAAGTGTTACGGTCACGGCGCAGCTGCGGAGCATCGTTTGGGGATGGATTTTTCAGCCTTGAAGCTAAGGCACTGCCATAACCGCATTTGCGCTGCGGTTATGGCAGTGCCTTAGCTGGAACCTCCTCATCAATTTCCAGGAAAAAAACCCATATGCCCAGATTTGCCCGGACGCTGCCTTTGAGCAGCTGCGCGGGCGATCGCGCAGCGCGCTCGCGCATGGGACTTGGGTCAGGCTTGCTCGCCCTAACTTAAAGATTTGTTGTGCATGCGATTGGGGACCCCGAGCTTGAAAGGGATAATTGAAGACTGTTCAAAGATTGTAGTCGCATATTCTTCACTACATTGAGTTATACTGCGTTAATTATGCATCTAAATACTTTGCAATAGTCATTCTGTTAAAAAGGCAGGCATCATGTTTGAGACCGGCGTTTGTGAATGTTCACTACCAACAGGATGAAATTCTTCTGCTCGTTATTGCTTACCAGTGCGCCACCTCTGCTTCGCAGAGGCTCGCACTGGTCTCACTATCTGTATGCCTTACTCATTCCCACAATAATAACATTGAAACTCACCGCGCTATGCAGACTATCATGAATGATTCGTAAACAACTACTCATTTCTAAGACTTTTTCATATGAGATCGGTAATTTCCCGTGAATGAAACTTTTCCCAGAAGAACAAATGCAAGTTTAAAACGGTTTTTGGACTTTTCATGGCTTGGTAGTCGCCTTGAGGACAGTGTTCACCGTGGGCCACATCACTGTGCAAAAATTTTCACAAATGATCAGGTAAACTCTTGGCAAATTAAAGTTTACGCAATCAATTCTTTTTGGCGCCACCTTCGTAAAGTAATAAACTTTTATTCACTATTCTGTGCTAAAGTCCATGGTTTGCACGTTAGCTTATCAAACGTACTCATGATTTTGCAAAAAGTGCTGCTACAGCATAGTTTTGCTGGCCAGAAGTTAAGTGGATCGTCTAAAACGCAGTTTTTGAAGGATCCATTCAATGGATCCGCTCGTGCTTTTGAAGAGTGGGCTTTGATGCTGGTAGCATACGCCATGCAAAATTTGGGCTCGGGACATTGGCTGGAACACGCTCTACGAATTTCGTAACGGACAGACACACACACACATACACACAAACAAAAAGACGTAAACAATCCTTAGCCCGTTATTATAAGTCATGATAATTGAGTTTTTATAGGGATTTGATCTAACTAAGAGAGATATTATCTTCATTCTTCCTTTGATGCTTTTGGCGATGGGTGAGGTACCAATTTTAGTTTTTATTTATGCTTGTGCAGGCGATTCGCAGCACGCAAAGACTGCGGACATATTGGCGTCTCCATGACCCGCTTTTTCGTTTCTCTTATCGTCTGTTGTCTCTCCCATTCACAAACTATCTTCATCGGACGTAGAGGCGACCAGTCTTTATCGCGTCATGAATCGCCTATACGTTTTCCAAAAGACCAACAAAAATAGAGACTAGTTAGTGAAAGTGTCAAAACTGTGAGGACAGAAAACATCGTTTCCGAAATCCAGGCATGAGTTTTTTCCTCATTCACAATCACATATAAAGAGAAAATGATTTGCTTCCGAGGGTAGGGTTTTCGAGAACGCCACACGTCCAACAAAATCCAATTTGTTACCATTTCAGAGCTAATTAGACTAATATCCAAAGTAGGTAACAAGTCTCGAGTTGCTGTACACACTTGTGCAACGTTCTCGGATCTGATTTATTCGCGCGCTTCGGGACCGCCATGCGGTTTCCCGCTATTTGCACATTTTTGAATTGCGCTTACGATTCTTTATCAATAGATTTCAGAA